AGCGTGAAGCAGGACTGTGCTTTGAAGCTGTGTGTTCCAGCGCTGCGAGCGCGAACCTGGCTCTTATAGTCTTGCCTTGTTCCGTGAAGGAAAGCACCGATACATGTTGGTGTACGCCGTTATGGCCATGCAACAAGTCACAGTCTTTCGGGAATATCGAAAGCAGCTGTTAGGTGCCTGGCAGGTGGACTTCTGTTTTGAGCAGTGGCACTGGTTCAAAGCAGTTCTAACATGTGACAATGGTTCAGCTTCGCAGGTGTCGTGGCATTGGGGTTCGGAGGAATGTTGCACCCCAGTGAATTTTTAGCTTTAATTCGTTGCGATCTAGTTTTTCCTGAGGATGCAATGTTGCAGCAGCATTGGAACCCCAAGACGGCACGCTTTGCTAGGAGACAGCGTGCTCGCAAGATGATGGGAGTTTGATCTTCTTGATTCGTTGTTTGTTCGCTTCCCTTCCCTTGGATGCAAAGCTGTTCCCTGCGTCCATGGAAGTGTTTCGCCGCCAATCACCTTGGCATTCCGAGACGCCAATCTGACCAAGGAGCAACTCCAGGCGTTTTGAGAGGAAGCGGCGCAACGCACGAGTACCTCAAGACTTCAAACATAGCACAGTTTCAATGGAAAGGGCGCTGGAGCAGACTCCGCGCGCTTGAATACTTTTTTCAAGAAGTAGCAGCGCAGTTGTTCTTGTTTGTTTGGCGCTGCAAGAGTGCTTTCCTCACCAGTTCAAGCAATTTTTGTTTGCAACGCGGTACAGTGCATTTGGACGGATTTCGATCTCTCTTGTTTTCGGTGGAGGTAGTTCCCTGATAAAGTCAGGGGAGGGCACCTATGCAGTGGCGGAAAAGAGTGTGATGTTCACTATCACATGCAACAGCCATTGCAGACAAGAATCTTGTCCATCCGGGCCTCCCAGAGTTGCTACATCCTTCAGTTGCTATGTGCTTGATCGATTGATCGGCGTTCTTGGCAGTACAGTGCAGTTGGACGGATTTCGAACTCTCTTGCCTTCGGTTAGCTGCAGCTAGTTCCCTGACAAAGTCAGGGCAGGGCACCTATGCAGTGGCAGAAAAGAGTGTGATATATACATATATAGATACATACACACACGTCTATACTGTATATTCTATATATGTTTGTCCTATCATCCTTGCTCCCATGGAGTTGGGAAATACTGCGCCAGGATGTGCACTTGCGCAAGTGCTTCGGCTCGGGTCTGACGTTGGTCACTCGGCGCAGATGAGGATCAGAGTACTGCCAAGGCAATCGTGGCGGGTTGCAGCACAGCAGGGGCAGGTCAAAACATTGAAAACTGAAGAAGGAGATCAAAAAAGAACATTGTCAAGTCGTGTGTAGCTGCGGGTTCAAGATGATTTGAAATGATTTGAAGGCTGTGGCTGCTCCGAGTCCACATCCATCCACAGTTGAAATTTCCAGTACATCTTCCTGTTGAAAGAAGAACCGCCTGTGTTGAAAGAGGGGTTCCATGTCCGAGTTTCGCCATGTTCCAATGAGCACCAAAGAGAACCCTGCCGCTGCGAACAGATGCCCGAACCCTACATCCCTACGTTCGGGAGCTGAAACACAGTGTGTACGGTGCACGTTGACACCAAAACTCTTTGGAGAGGGGACGGATTCCGCAGCCAGCGGATTTCGCGTCCCGGCCACGCTGCCAACGGGGCGCTCCTGCTCCAGGGAAGGTGTTCAATTTGGGAGTCAATGACGGTAAAACAGAAGCGTCTTCAAGGGGATCGGAACGTGATCTTCCTTTGCTGCACTACAAAGTTATTGCAAGGGAACGTGGACTTGAACTCTCCACTTCGCTGTCACCGGGTGATCAACCGATCTGGCCAACCATCAGGTGCAAACAATCGACGACGAGTCCTTCACGGACGATGGAAAACCCTTACCATAAGTGGTTGAGGGCTGCTCGACTTCATCGGCCGGAGCGCTTGCGTCGAAATTTTCCTGGAGAGGTATGTTCTCCTCCAACCCAAGAGGGATGGCCTTTGACCTAAGAGCGATGGCCTCCAACCTAAGAGCGATGGCCTCCACCCTAGTAGCGATGGCAGACCCTAGCAGCGAGTGCCTCCAACGTAAGAACGATGGCCTCCAACCTAAGAGCGATGGCCTTTAACCTAATAGCGATGGTCTCCACCCTAGTAGCGATGGCCTCCACCGTAGTAGCGATGGCCTCCACCCTAGTAGGGATGGCTTCCTAAGAGAGATGGCCTCCAACCTAAGAGCGATGGCCTCCTCCAACCTAAGAGCGATTGTCTCCAACCTAAGAGCGATGGCCTTTAACCTAAGAGCGATGGCCTCCACCCTAGTAGCAATGGCCTCCACCCTAGTAGCGGCCTCCAGCCTAGTAGCGACAGCTTCCAACCTAAGAGCGATGGTCTCCAACCTAATATAGCGATGGCCTCCAACCTGATATAGCTATGGCCTCCAACCAAATGGCGATGGCCTCCGCCCTAGTAGCGATGGCCTCCAACCTAGTAGCCATGGCCTCCACCCTAGTAGCGATGGCCTCCACCCTAAGA